TGGTTGTCATGCATTTTTAATCCCTCTTCATTTGGAACAGTTCCTTAGTCTGCTGTGTGTGTGTGTGTGTGTGTGTGTGAGATACTGACATTTTTAAAGAGTACAGGCAATTATTCCATACTGTATCTCTCATATTCCGTTGGCCACATACTCCTTCGTGAGTGGGTTCAGACAGAGCCTTCTTGGCTGGAATACTGTGTGAGTGGTTTGCATTCTTTTATGACGGCACCCTCAGAGGGTGCCTGGTGTCCCCGTGCCCCTCCTAAGTGACGTTCATTTTGATCATTTGATTAAGCTTTGTTCCTGTGTCTCCACCATCCAAATACCTTTTCCTCCCTTTTCTAATTAATGACCTGTGAGATGCGTGGTGTCTTGTTTGAGGCAAGAGAGTTTGCACAGTACCTGGAAGAGGATTTGGAAATATTTGGAGACGAACAGAATCATTTGGTTTTGTGATTGTTTGAGTTTATGAGGTTTGAATCTGCTTTTTTTTTTTTTTTTACAGTGATACAAACATCTGTCACAGACTACAAGTAAACCTAACTGTGTTAAACAAACATTGGTGTGTTTCTGGACACAGTCAACTGAATATATCAGATGACTTCAAACAGATCTTATATGTTGGAAAAGATGACAGTCTTATATGTCATCTGAACTTCCCAAACAGTTTTGTTCTGGATTCAGTGAAGTGGTATAAGGTAAAAAAAAAATTTCCTATTGATATTTTCCTTCCTCTTCTTTAAAACCCACTTGTCTTTTTTAAGGTTTAAGTTGTATCTTTTAAAGCAGAACTGGTAAAGAGATCTGTGTACCTAAGATAGATTCGTTAGTTGACAATTTTACCCTAATCACTTACTTTTAAATTTACGGCTATTAGAGTTTTGTAATAGTTTATTGTTTGTATCCACCCTTCCTCCCATTATTCTTACTTTTCAGACCATCCTTAATTATTCTTTTAAATTAAGATTTTAAGTAGTTGGTTTGTTTGAATGGGTACTATGTGCACATGATTCAGGAATCACAAAGTGGTAGAAGTCACGCCCTGGAAAACCTCCCCCCTCCTCAGGCAGGTTCCCCTGGGCTCATCCCACCTTCCCTGACCCTGACTGCTGTAATTAGTTCCTGGCAGTCTTTGCATTGTCTTTGTGTCACACAAGCCACACAGGCAAATAAAAATCTGCGTCCCAGCCCTTCCTCTTTTGTGCAAACAGGGCATCCTGCACTCACCTTTCTGTACCTTGTGTGTTTGCAGCTTCAGACATTCTCTTTGTCTGACCTTAGGGGCGGATGACATCCTACAAAGTTTAACCCTTGGCTGGGAGGAGTACAGGCTAGCTATTGAGCATTTGAATTACTTTTCCCCCAGCTCTGCTTGTTGGCACCTGCCTGTACAATCATCTGGGTCTGAAGTTCTCTCTGTGGGAAGGTTTTAATCTACTGATTTTGTTTCTTTAACGATGATAGGATTATATGAATTTCTTATTGATTCTCAAAAGAGTTTTGGTAAGATTTTGTTTCCTAGGAAATTGTTCATTTCATTAAACCTTTCAAATACTCTTGACATGAAATTATTTATCATCTCTCTGTTCTTAATGTCTGCTTCTGCAGTAAGCTTCATGTTTTAATTCCTGTTACAGCATGTTTCTCTCTGTCTCTGTCTCCTCTCTCTCTCTCTCTCTCTCACACACACACACAGTCTCTCTCATTTGGTTGGTCTCATAGGAGATTTGCTAGCTCTGTCCCTCCTTTTAAAAATCAGTTTCTGCCTTGGTTGATCCTCTCTGTTACACATTTCACATTCCTTTAGCTTGTTTCTCTTTTCTTCTCTCGCAAGGAATGTGGCAATAAATGTCCTTGTCCCTTTTAAACGCATTTATGCACATTTGACGGTGTGTGAGTTTTTCTTACAGCATGTGATGACTAGCCTTAGCATTGCTCGTTTGTAGGATACGCGTCTGAAAAACATACTCCACTTTATTGATGTTGCCAAATTGCTCTGCAACACTTTTTGAATTGACGTATAGTTGATTTGCAATGTTGTGTTAGTCTCAGGTGCACAGCAAAGAGATTCAGTTATGTCTGTCTGTCTGTCTGTCTATCTACATATACACACACACACACATATATACATTCCTTTTCAGATTCTTTTCCACTGTTAGTTATTACAAGGTACTGAATACAGTTCCCTGGGCTACACAGTGGGTCCGTGTGCCTTACTGTCACCAGCAGTGTCCTGGATTTCCTAAAACCTTGTGTAGGACTTCGTCTTGTAAGACTTGAAAGCTTTTTTTTATATTATTTTGATGGGTATAAAATGTTCCCTTACTGTTGTTTTAGTTTACTTTTCCTTAATTATTAGTGAGATTGATCAATTTTTTCGTATGATTATCGGCCATTTCTATATCCTCTTCAGAACTCTGCTTAACGCCTCTCTTTTACCATATTTCTTTTTTCATTTTTTCTTACCATTTTCTTACTGACTTGGAGAAGATTTTATATATTTATAGATCCTAGTTGCCAGTGTTTGAAACACATTAAAAATTTTTCACTATAGTGTAGCATCCATCAAGAAAACGCATGAGTCAGAAGTGGATAAGCTTGACAGACTACCAGAAAGAAAGCACACCTTTCAATTAAGCCTTCCACCAAGGTCAAGAACTCAGCATCACCAGCACCTCAGAAGGCCCGCTTCTGCCATCTTCCAAAAACTATGTCTCCTTGATCTTCAAAAAGAACCACTCTCCTGACTGATAATAGATTAGTTTTTTGCCAGTTTGTGAACCTTCCTGAAGTTGCCTCGTATTGTATGTAGGATCTTGTGTCTGGCTTCCCTGTGGTATTTTGCTCCTGGTTGATGGAAACTTGTGAGGGTAATCCATGCTGTTGCAGATCACTCTCGTCCGTCCATTTCTATTGCTGTGTAGCATTGCGTTATTGTCATCAGGCTTTTTAATGTTTCCCAATGCTTGGCCACTAGGAATAAAGCTGCCAGGAACATTCTTGTAAATATCTTTTGATTCACAAGCGCATGTATTTCAGTGGGACATTTACTTAAGAGTGAAATGGTTAGGTCACAGGAAATACGGTCAAAGTTAGTAGAAAACGCCAAACCAATGGACTCAGTCCTCCAAGATGTTGTTCTGTGAAGTGGTACTTCCTGGAGAAGGAGGAAAAGGTTTGAGAAAGAGTTCAGAAGTGGGTCTGAGATGGAAGAAGAGGTTATCACGGGAAGAAGAGGTTATCACGGGAACGAGAGCTTACGACAGGCCGGGTGAGCGGTGAGTCTCGCCCTCTGGGTGGTTACTGAGGATGACAAATGAGGAGGGCCTTCCTGAGACTGACTCGTCTCCAGGTTGGTTTTGTGTGAGGCTGTTTCCTTGTTGATGGCAGTGGCAGCATGGGTGACTTAAGAAGCACTGTGACATCTGCTCCCCAGGAGCCCTGCCACGTACTTTGACTATTGCTCAGGCCTCCAAATAGAATGTTGGTGAAGGGGTAGTTTGGACCTGTGTAAGGTCCAACCCCGACAGGTGGAGAAGGTGTAATTGGCCGCGTAACACAGTGGAAGCGGTCCTTACTCACCTGAGCTTGCAGCCTTGCAAAGGAGCCTGGTACCACTACGTGGTGGTCCATTGGGAGACGTGGACTCCTGTCGATGGAGGACATTCCTGCCTGTTCACATCCTCCTACCAAACTCCTTTATCGACCATCCCAGTCCTTCTCCATAAGGTCTTCCTTCTAGCCTCTCCCCTCTCAGCTCCTAGTGGACTTCATATTTATAACACTCACTGCAGCCCATAAAATAGTCTTTATATATATATAAAATCTAGATTTGACTTATTGATCTAACTGTACAGTACTTTGTGCATGCTGGATTTTAAAAGTTTTTTATTATGCATTATATCAAATTTACCACTGTATGAGTGGAAATTAAACTTTATGTGGTTTTTATATGTTGTAGTATTTCTTCAAACAAATTTCTGCTATAAATGAAATATACATGTACATATTTTATATTCTTGTTAGACTATAAATTACCTAAGGTCTAGAGATCCCACAGGTTTCTTGTCTGTCCATGGTTCATAGAAAAGTGCTAAGTAGAGATGTAACTGATATCTCAAAATACTCTTTTGAATTGAAAAGATTTTTTTTTTTTGTATTTAGGACTGTAAAGAGGTTGAAGGAGAGAGGTTTATTTCTCGGGAAAAAAGGCTTTTAGTGAAGAATGTCTCGGCAGAGGATGAAGGGAAATATGCCTGTCGAGCCAGACTCACATACGCAGGGAAACAGCACACGGTTTTAAACAGCATCACGGTGAATACTGGTAAGTGCGCTCCTGTCGTCACCTTGGCTGCCTCTTGGCTTTGCGGGAGCTGGCCGGCTTTGGCCAGAAGTGAGTCTGGATCTTGACTTTCCTGAAGGTGAGCAGGCTCTCATGCTCAACATCATTGGAATCATAGGGTAGGAAGAGTCGGGTGAAAGGGCAGGGACAGGTTAGTTTTTCTTATCTGAAAAGACAGAAAATTAAAAAAAAAAAACCTCTTGGTTTAGTCATGAAAATTACATGAGATCATGTACACAGAATAGCTCCTGGGGTGCCAGCAAAGTACGCGTACTCAGTCAGCTGGCAGATGCCATCACAGTCACCCTTCTCTCCCTCTGTCTTCACTGGTGTGACTGTGTCAGGGACCATTCCATTCCTCAGGTGCGGCAGAGTTCAAGGTCTCTGGACTTGGTTCCAGGATGTCTAATACTTACGGGGTTTCAGTTCTCAGCCCAGAATTTTCTTGCATATGTGACCTGGGGATTTGACAGCAGAATCTTAGGAGTAGAAGAAACCTTACAAATAATTTAGCTGAAGCCATTAATTTTATAGAGGCCTGGAGGGGAGTGACTTGGGGACACTTACAAAGCTGGTTAGTGACAGCAGCAGGGCCAGGACTCAGGCCTTCCGGGCCAGACAAGCATGTTTTTCCTCTAAACACACTCAACAAGGACTTCTTGCTGTGTGGCCTCTGCTCTCCTCTCAGCAGAGAGCTGTTTTCTGATTTACTCACCTAAATGGAAGGGACCGGAGGCTGAATATTTCTTTGACGTGGACCTTCATGTTTGTCACTCTTTTCCATCAGACTTCATCATACTGAGGGATGCATAGCAATTTCTCGATGGTGTGGCCCACCTGGGGCCACCCTTAATCAATAAAATTAATTGTATTAAGTGTTATTATTTTTGTGCTCTTGGGTTTTTAGGCATTTTAGGAGATAAAACCCACAGGACTCACTGTTGGATTGAACACGGGGTGAGGGATGTGTCAAGGCCAAGGCGGCTTTTGGATGGTGATACTGGTCAAGGAAATGAGATGCTTCTGGAGGGAAGCTGGGTTTAGGAGTGAGAGCATGAGTTTGGTCGTGGGTAAGTTGAGTCCTTGGTGACTTGAGATGTCAAGTAGGCCATGGCTTATCTGTGTCTGGAGCTTAGAGATACACCTTGCAAGGTCACTGTCCTTTAGCTGGTAATTGAAGAGGCGGATGTGAATGAGCGTACTTAGGCAAAGAGCAGAGTGTAGAAAGTAGGGTTTCGGAGTGAAGAAAGAGGCCTGGACTGAGAAATGTTCAGAGGTGAAATTAGTTGGGTTTGGTGATGGTGATTTGGAGAGAGTGGGAGATAAGCTGCTGTTTAGAATGACTTCTAGACTTCCCATGTGTGTGATTAACTGGCTGGTGATGACTTCTGTTTGGGTCAGACAGAATTTGCATAGTTTGTAGAATGTGCAAATATAGTTGCCATCGTAAAGGACATATGTTTTTGCAATTTCGGATCTTCCCTCTTAGAACTTTCCACATCCCACCCCTTTAGAGAGGAAGGATGTGGGATGCAGAGGGTGGCTGCTGAATATTGGTAAACAAACGGGGAAGGGACGACATGGAGAAAGACAAAGGGGTGGGAGTTGGTACAAGGAAGACCGTTATAAAGTTGGGGAGAGGAATGAAAGCACGAAAGAGCAACAGGAGAGGAAGCGCTGTGAAGAAGAGGGCCGAGCAGGGTTGGAGGATGGAGTAGAGCTGAGGACAGACCATTAGGACCTGTACTCCTCTGTGGTAGGACCCAGGCCAGAGCTTTGCTTACGGCCACTGCTTAAGATGACTGGCAACGAGACTTTATGACACAGTCTTATCAGTTTACGTCAGATCTGTAATGGAAGAGGTACTCTCTTGGCAGCCCAGCTTTTAGATTTTTTTCCTTGGCAATTCAATTATTTCTGGTTTAAAAATTGATGGAGTGATATTTAGTCACACCATGAGTTTTGTTTCTTTCTTGACCAACGTTGATTGAAGGTCTGCTCTGTGCTGTGTTTTCCTTATGTCTGTATTGCATTGAAGTAGTTGGGGATGTTTCTAATACAATTTCATGTGGGTATGATTTCTTAGCAGAAAAAGTGCAAAATGGAGGACGCATCCCTAAGATCATTTATCCAAAAAACAATTCAATTGAAGTGCGACTTGGTGAGTAAAGTTACTGAAGTCATTGAAATCACTGAGGGCAGAAATCAGCATGTCCGCGTAGGCACATGGACCTTTTGAGTTTCCAAAAGGAAGACAGATCCCATACACATCTAGTTTCCAGTTTGGGGTGTAACTGAGCTCATCAGAAGAGGCATCAAAATAAAAAATTCACAGAGCTGAAAGCTGGGGAAGTTGTGATATAAAAGGTCTGGCAGTGATCACTCTGGGTCTAAATGATGACTTGTAAATCTGTTTATGCAAAGACAGACATTTCCTGAGAGAGATGATACACAACATCAAACTACTATGAAGTAAGGTTGAGCAAGTGGCTTGGGTTATAGCATCTCATGTATTACTAGGAAGTGTATGAAGACAGTAGGGGAAGTTATCATGTTACATTCTTCATTAAGAAGAGATCAATGAACATTGCCTTAGTTTGTGATCCAAGTAAATAAAAAGGGACTCAAATTATTTTTTTAAATTTAAAGGCAATCACTAGTAAAATAAAAACATGTTGAGTACCTTCTAGAGAAAAAAAAGTAAATTAAACAAAATCCTTATTAAAAGACAGGTGTTCAGGTTGAGTCAAATATTAAAATCCAATTACATGCTCTTCTCAAAAGACACGGATCGAAAAGTACATTTCTAGAAGATTCAAAATCTGTGCATGAGTGAGATATGCCTAAGAATTGCACACAAGAAGCAATACAAAGAAATCAGATTTGCAATATTAATTTTTCAATCTGCTAATATAGCATCCGATGCAAAAAGGTAAATGATCAACTGAATCATTTTATACTAATAAAAAACTCACCCCCCCAAATAAAAATTTCTATGTGTCAAATATACAAAGATACAAGAACAATACAATTGTTTCAATTACAGTGGGAGATATTACCATACTCTGGCTTTGACAAATTTGCTGGTCAAATAAGGATCTAAAATATTCTAGTAATAAGATAAGAATAATATATTTAATAGATCATGCTTTTAAACATCTGTGAAAACCTCTCAGAGTCCCCAAAGAGGAAACTATACAGACCGGATGGTATAATCACAATTCAGTTAGTCTAGAAATTTACAGCTAAAGTCAAAACAGTGATAAACCCAACAGAAATAAAATCCGTTAATTAAAAAAGTTAAGCAAAAACACATTCATCTTCCTAATTATTTACTTTCTTGACTAGAGTAAAGCCAAAGCCTTAGGTACAGAAAAAAAATGGCAGTGAGAACATGTCACCCTTTGCAGTACTTTCTAAACAAGCTAGTGTCTTTAAATATTATTAATAATAAGTGTAGAAAACATTAAAATCCATAAACTCACCATTGAAGTCTCTAAAAAAGAGCAACTGAATAACGCCATAGAAGGAAATAACAAAGGTAAGAGTAAAAACTCCACAAATGACAAATGCTGGAGAGGGTGTGGAGAAAAGGGAACCCTCTTACACTGTTGGTAGGAATGTAGTTTGGTGCAGGCACTATGGAAAACAGTGTGGAGATTCCTCAAAAAACTAAAAATAGACTTACCCCATGATCCAGCAATCCCACTCCTGGGCATGTATCTGGAGGAAACTCTTAATTTGAAAAGAGACATGCACCCCAATATTCATAGCAGGGCTATTTACAATAGCCAAGACATGGAAACAACCTAAATGTGCATCAACAAATGACTGGATAAAGAAGTTGTGGTATATTTATACAATGGAATATTACTCAGCCATAAAAAACAATAAAATAATGCCATTTGCAGTAACATACATGGACCCGGAGATTATCATTCTAAGTGAAGTAAGCCAGGAAAGAAAAATACCATATAACATCACTTATATGTGGGATCTAAAAAGAGAAAAAAAGAGGACACTAATGAACTCACCTACAAAACAGAAACAGACTCGCAGACATAGGAAACAATCTCATGGTTACTGGGGGAAGGAGGTGGGAAGGGATAAATTTGGGAGTTTGAGGTTTGCAAATGTTAACCACTATGTATAAAAATAAATAAAAAACACATGTCTTCTGTATAGCACAGGGAACTATACTCAGTATCTTGTAACAACCTTTAATGAAAAAGAATATGAAAACAAATATAGGTATTTGTACACTGTGCTGTACACCAGAAATTCACACACTACAAATGACTATACTTCAATATATAAAAAAAAGGTATGTGCAAAAAAAATAAAGGAAAATAGAAAAGGAACAACTCTTTTCAAATTAGGAATGGAAGGGAAGGTCCTTCATCTGAATTTAAAGTCTAGTTTTAGAAATTACAGAAACAGCACACTCAGGACTGAACTATTGAGCACTTTTTCCTTGTTTTGAAGGAGAAGACAGTCAAAAGCTCAACAGATTTTGGCTTTTGTAGAATTTGATATGTTGATTATGACATTGGTATGAAAATGCAAAGATTGAATAATAGTCAAGACACTTTTAATGAAGAAAAAGTAGGTGGGAGGCCGAGTGACACCAGATGTCAAGATTTATTAAAAAGCGACAGTGATTTGGACACCCCAGTCATGGTACAAGGTTAGACCGTGGAACAGAATGCGTGGCCTGGAATAGACCCACGTGCGCACAGCAGCTGATTTTGACAAAGCTGACGCTGCAGAGGAGTAGGGAGACGGCACTGTTTGCAGTAAACGGTCCTGGACAATGGGATGTACTAGAGAATAAAAAGGAACTTGAACCCTTTCTTATAACCATTTATATAATAATGTCAAGTGAATGATAGACCTAGATGTGAAAGTCAAAACAATAAATTTCTGGAGAAACACCTTCATGATTTGGGGTAAGGACAGATTAAAAAAAATTTGAGAATATAGAAGTTACTGGTCTTGAAGAAAAAAACTGGTAAGTGGGACAACATTAGAAATAAGAGCTTCTGTTTGTTAAAAGATGTTGAAAGATTGAAAAGACAAGCCACACAGTGGAAGAAGATACTTATAATAAGTGAGCGAAGGTCTCCTATCCAGGATGTAAACAGAACTCCTCTGAAGTAATGAAGAGGAGGCCACCTGATGGGAAGACAGACAAACCTCGTGGACAGACAGTTCAAACAGAGGCTGTCAACACGGCCAAAGGAAGGATAAAAAGGTGCTTGACCAAGTGCAATCTAGGGAAATGCAAGTTAAATCCACGACATGAGGCCATGACAGGCACATCGAGGTGGTTGAAATAAACTGACAGTCCCAGGCGTGGCAGGGTCTGTAAGGTTCCGCTGCTGGAGGAAGCGTCAGTGGGAACAACTCTTAGAAAGCAGTTTGGCACGGCTGTTATGGTTGAAGGTACGTGTGATCTATGATCGACCAACTTTACTGGTAGATAGGCCCATAAACCCACCACGGGTGTGGGTGTGGGGACGTGAGCTATGTACCCATGGGACCCGGGAGATGAGCAGGAGAGAAGGGAGGCCGGGACGCCGCGGTGGCGGCAGGCAGGCGAGGCGGACACTGGAAACCACGCCGACGCGTGTACAGCAACAGCAGAAGAAATGAAAAAGTCCTAGTGTGTTCCGCTGTCTGAATGGAGTTGGGTACATGCGACGGTATGCGTGAGCATCGCGGACGAAATGTTGGTGGGGAGAAGCTGGAGATCAGGGGTGAACAGGAAGTGACAGGTGCAGAGTTGTGAAGGCGCACGTGGGTGGCCTCGGGGTTCTGGCCGTGTGCTGTGTGCTCCGTGAGGTGGACATCTGCTTGCTAATAACTCAGTAACTTCACATTTATAGTCGGCACATTTTATTCTGCATGTGTTATATTTCACACACTCAGAAATGGAAAAACTTAATATCGCCTAGAATAAAGAAACTTAAAAGTAGACTGTTTAGAAGTATAATAATTATTTTTTACATGTAGTAAATAGATGGAATTTACTAGGGCAAAAGAAAGGGAAAATATAAATATTAAATATAATTTGTGAACATGTGTGAGGTCAGGTGAAGGGAAAGAGAGGGGAGAGTAGGGGTCACAAAGGGTGAAGCAGAAATATCGCTGGATTTGGAATTAGAAAATCAGAGTTCGTTTCTTCCTCCAGTGTGTGACCTTGGGAAAGTCACTCGATCCATCTGAACCTCCATGTTCTCATCTGGAAGATGGGGGTAATAGTACTGCCCCCTTTCTGCCTGCAGGAGATCTGTGAGGATGGGCAGACTGAAGGTGAACGTGTGTGTGAAATGCTTTGCGAACTGTAAAGTTCTTTGCTAAGTTTACTAAGAGAAGAAATGGCATTTGTGTCCCCTGGTATCATGGGAAACACTGGCCTGAAGTTGGTGACATTTGGCAGCACATCCCATACCATAGACATCCTGGAAGGTCACTCTGTCCAAGGAGAGAATGAAGTAGATGGACATTGACCTCCGGCGGGGGGGGGGTATTTTTGACAGCTGAAAGCTGTTCAGGGCTCAGAAGCAAGGTGCCCTGGTTAAGCAGGCCACGTGGGTAGGGTTTTCACTGACGGTGTGTCCCTGTGATTTGGCAGGCTCCGCCCTCATCGTGGACTGCAATATCACAGACACACGGGACAACACAAACTCCCGCTGCTGGAGGGTCAATGGCACCTTGGTCGACCATTACTACAATGAGTCCAAACGAATTCAGGAAGGAATCGAGTAGGTGTTTTGTTTTTCTGGCTTCCTTAAAGGCTCGCAAGCATTCCTCCAGCTAAATGATTTGGGCACTGGTCCTGCTCTTCGGAGGTGGCTCTCGCTGCCTCCTCGTCACTCCTTTTGGTTTTATCCTTCAAAGACCTTCTCAGTGCTGTGCGGCCGAGCATCTGGCTCAAAGAAGATGCTCGTGTTACGAGTCCTGCTTGCATCTTCAAGAGAGAAGGCAAAACATAAAGTATGGCTTCAAAGCCGCAGATTGATCTTCTCAGCTCCTTACTGAAAACCAGTCTCGTTTCTGTTTGGTTATGGCATGAGCCACAGGCCTTCAAGGCTTAAGTAGCAGAATGAGGCAGCAACATGGGAGTCTTGGGGGAGACGGTGCGTCGCCACTAACCGATCTAGTGGTGCAAACCCAGCTTACGGTGGTTGGAATTGAGTGGTAGAAAACAAGACTCATGAAGTCAGAGGGTGGAAGGACCTGCGCTGGGCCTTGCAGTGTGCATAAGTCAGGATGAGTGGAGGGGGGACAGGGGAGGGCCCCCTGGGGCTGAGGCTGGGGTCTCTAATTAACAGGACCGCACTTCCGTGTCACTGTCCAGAAGAAAAGGCAAATTTGGAGCGACCCAGTCCACGCACCTCCTGGCGCCACTGGCTGGCGGTGTTCTTAGGGTAAAAGGATGGCTCCAAGCGTTCCCCAGGAGAGAACGTGATGCTCTGGACAAAAGCGTATAAAATATGTCGGATAAATAGGACTCACGTGTGAGTTAATGACTGGCTTTTTTCTTTTATAGAGACTACACTGTTTTCCAAGAACATATTTTTTACACAGTGAACATAACGTTCTTAGAAGTGAAAATGGAAGACTATGGCCGCCCCTTCACCTGCCACGCCGGAGTGTCCGCCGCTTACTTCATATTAAAGCCCCCAGGTAGTGGTCCCCTGCGGTGCCTGCTGCTCCGACGTTCCAAGTGATGGCAAGGACACGCCTGCGAAAGCAGAGTGACATTAAATGCTTGGCGTGAGGCAGCAGCGTGGTATTAAATAGGGAAACACACTATGAAATC